AAAGTAACAGATACCCAAAGCAAAATTGTAAAACATTTAATAAATAAAGGATGGACTATTAATGAAGACAAAATAGGCAAACCTGGTACAGAGGTCAAGTTTCTGGGAGTGCATTGGAGCACTACAGGACCCAAAATACCAGATCAAGTGATAGATAAATTGAAAGGACTCCAAATACCTAATAATAAAATGGAAGTCCAACATTTAATTGGATTATTCTCATATTGGAGACAACATATACCCTATTTACAAGTACTATTACAACCATTGTATAAAATAACTAAAAAGGCAGAAGAGTTCACTTGGGGAAAGGAACAAGAACAAGCAGTAAAAGTGACACTGGAATATATAGCACAATTTCGCAACCTAAATTTTGTACAACCAGATGATACTATTATCATTGACCTGTTATACATGGCAGGTTATGGAAATTGGAATATATTTGCTAAAAGAAATTCGGATTTAGTTCCTGTAGGATTCTATTGCAAGAAATTCCCATGGTCTGAACAAAAATATTCACTCTTTGAGAGACAAATATGGACTGCTTATGAAGCAATCAGAACAGTCCAGTCCTTATTAAGAAACAACAAAGTGATAATAAGGACCAACTTACCAATCATAGATTGGATTAAGGCACCTGGAGAAGCATGGGCTGGACTACCCATGGAAGGAAAAGTCTTAATGTGGAAATGGTTCCTAAATGACTTCCTTCGGTTGAATGCAGTGTCTGCACAGGGGTCGGTACCAATGGTCTCGGAGTCGATACTTCAGTCCAACAGCCCCATGACTCCAAATGGGATTGAGTTCCCTAAGACCACCCCTCCCCTGAAACAGGTACCAATGGGGCATTGGGGGACACAGGCATACAACCCCTCCATGGTTAACGCCTGGTTTACTGATGGATCAGCAACTTCCAGAAATGGAAAGATACATTGGAAAGCTGCAGCTTTCAGACCATTTGATGGAAAAATATTGCAGGAATCAGATACAGGAAAATCTGCACAACATGCAGAAGTTATAGCAGCTAAATTGGCAGTACAACAATCCTTTGATGAGAAACAGAAAGTGTGCTATATTTTCACAGACTCATGGTGTGTGGCAAATGGAATAGCAATATGGTCAGGTAAATGGAAAAATAATAATTGGAAACTACATTAGACAAGTTATCTAAATCAGTAAAAATAATAGTTGATATATGGAGCAAAGATGCTTGGGAAACATTAGACAAGTTATCTGAATCAGTAAAAATAATAGTATATCATGTTGATGCACACACCAATAAAAAGGATGATGTGCACAAACATAATGATACTGTAGATAAATTAGCAGCAGCTCATATTAAGATGAAGAGAAACTGGAAAAGTACTATACAAAATAATAAATTAAAACTGACTAGACAATGGGAAATAGTTAAACCTGAGATAAAAGAACTTAAAGTCAGTAAGGATGAAATCATAAAACTACACAAGGAACTGGGACATATTGGAACCCATGCTATGAAACAATGGTTTGATAAGCGTAATATAGATGTTAAATGGGAGCATATAAAAAACTCCATTAGAGTGTGTAATGAATGCCCATCACAAAACCTTAGATTTAATCATAATTACCATGGTAACATAGGACATAGAATTAGATTTAATCATACAGTACAGATAGACTTTATAGGACCACTTGTAAATTTTAGACAGAATTATGCATGTACAATAGTAGATATCACCACAGGTCTAGGTTTCGCTAGACCAGCACATAAACCAGATCAGAAAGCTACAATTAGTACACTATGGACATGGTGTGCAATGCATGGAACACCATTGATAGTGCAATCTGATCAAGGAACTCATTTTACAGGATATAAAATAAAACAATTTGCTAATAACATGAATATTATGTGGGATTATCATAAAGCATATACACCCACAGCTGCAGGAAGCATTGAAAGATTCAATGGCTTACTAAAACAAAAACTTAAACACCTCAAGGGATACACTATTGAGGAAGCTATTAACATAGCACTAAATGAACTAAATAACAGACCTAGAACAAATAGGAATACTCCTATAGAGGAAGTTCACCCTAGACTTAATGAAGACATAGACTATCCTTACACTGAGAATAGATCACTAATTAGGCAATATAATTGCATCCACAGGAACAGGAAGAATAACTCATTCCTGCCTGCGGAAATCATTACAGAGGGAACAGGAAACACTGTCTGGATCACAACAGGCAAAGGAGACCTACAGTTGTCCAGATTAGAAGACACAGCGTAAGGAGATGTCCTTTACAAACAATCATGTGTTGTCTTAGAGCAATCATAATAACAGCAGCTATACTTGTAATTGTAATCTATGTAGTTTTCCCCACCACTGATGCTTGGACAAAATTGTGTGACCAGATCCATATGAGTCATAGTAGCAGCAATAGCAGTAGAAACCCTGCTGATATCATAGCCAATTGGACAATTTGTTGGACCCATATGGTACAACGTCTCAAAACAGTCCAGTAAAATGCACATAGAATTACATCTTTTACATGTAACAGCATTAATTACAACAATATCTGTTAAGATAATTGACTATTTATGGTCTTGGATTGATGAAATAGAAGCTTGGTGGAGAACTAAAGATATAGATTTAGAACAAGGGACAACCATAGATAATGAAAATAATGATGATGAAAATACTACACGTCCTGATGTTTGCACACATAATGTTGTGTGATCAGGAGGAGGACCCAACTACTACTATTACTAAAGAGACTGAGGACCCAGATAAAATAGTAAGACATGTTTTCATAGATCATGTACAGCCATATAATGAAATCAAAATACCCTTTAATGAAACTATATATAAAATATGGCCAGATGCTAGCACAGCAGCCAGAGAATATACAGAATATATTCTACAATCATACTCATTTTGGCATAAATATAGTTATTGCTTAGATAATCACTTTGCCACAGGATGTGAACAATTTAATGCTATGTCAGATAATTGGACTCCATTTAAATCACATATGATCAACATGTCCTATACAGCAGACATTAATATACATGAACAAAACCCTTTAAAATGTCATTTTATAGAATATTGGAGAAATACTGCAGCATACCCTATATATAATGTAGTTGTAGCAAAACCCTTTAACAATGACAGGATAAGAGTAAAAGTGAATACAGGTGATACAACATCATATGTCACCATTGCCTCTGATGATAGATATTCACAATTAACTGATTGTGGAACTAGTGCTAATATGTCTTTTGTACGATGGTGGTGCAGACCACTCTTTGCCAAAGGACCAATGGAACATACACAAAGTCTTTTGGCATACAAGAAGAAACATTTGATCATATGGATGACTATATTAATTCTGTATTACCAGACAATTTACCAACAGGAGATGAAGATAATACAGGTGGTGCTGATAGTACTGACCGTGGTGACTCCACTGGAAACAGGAGCCTACACCTACTATGGACCCTTGTAATAGCTCAGCATGGATAAAAGGTGATGAATTCACCAAATGCCAACACCTATACCCATACCCTCTTAAATACAATAGAGGTATGTTCCACAAAATGCCAGAACCATATGGACGTCCATGTCCTAAAAATGCACTAGAAACACTTAAATCTCTTAAAAACACCTCTCTGAAAGTTGGTAAAGAAGTCATTTCAGAACCTTTAGAAATAACAGATTGGGATTCAGTGAATTTAATATGCCTAGCAGATTTTCCTAATTTCCCGTTTTATGGAGCATTAATACCA